AACAAGTGTGAGCACTTGCTCACCCCGCCTTCCCTGTCCTCAGCAAACTCCTACTCACCCAACAGCCAGCTGAGCTCCTTGCATGGCCTTTGCACCCCTGTCTGGATCCGACCCTTGCATGCCATCCTGCTTTGTCCCCTGGTCCTTCCTCCTTTCCCTCTCACAAGCTTCCCATTTCCCTGCTTATTGTTTCCAGAATATTCCATGTTCTTTCATGCTTCTGTGAGTCCTTGCTCATGCTTATTTTCCTCCACTATTTTCAAGATTCATCTTTAGCATCTCCTCTTCAATGAGCTTTTCCTGACCCATTTAGGGTAGAACTAATCACTCCTACTTTTGTATTTCTGTGCCCTGGCCATACTAACATTTGTCTGTGTCCTCAACTTGACTATGAATTCCTCAAGGACAGGGATCCTGCCTTAGTTTTCTTACTGCCAGCATAAAGCCCTGTGTCTGGCATGTCACAGGTGCTCAACAAGTGTGAAATGAATAAATCGTTTGTTTTCTAATCAATATTTTTGTAAAAAGCGATTTTCATTTTGAAGTGCTTACAAAGTATTATGGCATACATTTGGAAGAATTAATAACCAGAAATTAGACATTTGTGATATAACATGGTATTGCAGGGTTCTTCATGGGAAAAGGGGAACGTCCTACCTTCCTCTCTGCCAATGGTTACAATGGGACTCATCAGCTCCAGGCCTTCATCCCCATCGGAGTTCACAGCACGAGCCGCGCACTGCACCCGCGAGCCAGGCTGGAAGTAGATGGAGTCCAGTGCGATGATCTTGGACGATGTAAAAAAGGTGTCGAAGTCCAGTTCTCTCATGGGGCTGGTTACACCATCAGGGCCAGCAGGTGCACTGATCAGCCATCGGTACCGTGTCAAAGTGTCATTAATATTCTCACTTGCACAAATAGAGCCTGTTTTGTCATAGTCTGAATATTTGGGGTTGCAAGCCTATGGAAAACAAATAACTATGTTAGGACCACAGTAGGACCACAATGTGGAAACTACTCCTCTCGAGTTCTCTTTGCCATAATGTTTGCACTGCTGCTTTGCCCCCATTTCTACATGCTGTTCATGAGACTTCCTCATTTCTATTCCCAGCCGTGATAGCTTCTATGAACTCGAACTTCTATGAACTCGAATTTTGCATTTCAGATAGCTTAGATTAGACATTTCTACCTCTAACTTAATACGTGTGAAGTTGTTATTCGTAACATAATCTCTTGAATCCTCAGAGTTGCCAAACTATCCTTGTTCTCTCTCTTTCCCTCCTCCCCTCTCCCTCCCTCCTTCCCTTCCTCTCTCAGCTTATCCCAGTGGGTCAGTGAACTTGGTTGATTCTTTGTTTGCAGTGTTGCTTAGGTTCATCCCTTCCTTCCCATTCCGAGCACCACCTCCCTGTCTATTGCAGGGCCTTTCCTTCCAGCCCAGAGACACATTACTGCCCTGCTGACCTGCCGACATAACCCCTCAGATCATCCTCCTGTGCAAGAACTCCCTGCTACCCAACAGATGAAGTCCCAATTCCTTAATATGACATTTAAAGATTTCTATAAATTGGCACCAAATTATTATTTCTGCCTTTCTAATTCAACAAACATTTTTATGTGTAGGTCATTATATTAGGGCTGTTGTGCTATAAAAATAAGTCATAATTTTAGCTTACAAGGAGCTTATAATTTAGAGCTTCAAGAGAAGGCAAGTAAAAAAAGTAGTGATAACGTGCCATTTCTCATGCTATTCCTCTAGCTGTAGCCCATCTTGCAATCCCTTCCTCCTAGAATGACCATCCCTTATCTGGTTCTTATCCTACAACTATGGGTCCCCCTGCCCACCTCCAGGCTCCCCTCACCCGTGGAGATGCGGCTCTAGCTTCTCAGTTACAGCATTCTCATGATAATGATCACATCTTGCCTTTTATTAGAATTTCTGATTTCTATATATTTTTCTCTTCCTTATTTTTAAATTCCATAAGTACAGAGTTCTTATTTATTTATTTTATCAGGGACAGACGCTGAGATAACACACTGTGTACACATCAGCTAGTGAACCTTTGTTGGGTTAAGGAAGAAAAATGGGAGCTTTGTGTGATTAATGTTATATTTGCAAAGTTCAAAGCTGAAACCTGTAGTATTTTCTTACTTTTCTTTCTTCATGACAAAGCCAATACTACACTGGTTAAAGTTTACAATTATTTAAGATAATTATCTTACAATTTTCCTCAGTTTTTTCAATTTCCTACTCACTGTAATGCAGATGACAGGATAGCCAGACATGGGTCCAGCGCTCTCCTTAGCGCTGGACGTGTC